TTGTTGTCACCTGAGCGCACAGATTGACCGTACTGAGTTTCCTACACCACAGTATTCATACTACACGCGCTCTCGTCCCGACCGCCGCCGCCTACTCTCCAAATTCCCGTTGCCATGGAAACGCGAAACAACTCGCCGTGGTTACACCGTCGGCAAACAGTAATTCCGCTTTGGCAGTGCAGCTCTCTGTTATCGGAGCGCGTTTGAGGAAGATCTGTGGACAGAGAAGGAGTGTTTTTCTGTCTTTTTCTATTCGATTACCAAAGTAATTTTTAAATCCTAGATGGGATACAACAGAAAATACAGACAATTTTCAAGATCTTTTTCTGGACGTCTTTATATCGACAACGTTGCATATTCCTATGGAGGGGAACAAAATTTTGTAACCTCATGTGGTGTGTGGAAACCTTATTTCACATTCCCAAACTAAAGATCTTAGGATATTCATCAAAAGTAAACATGATTCGAAGGCTGTGCAAACGTGTTCTTAGAACATAATCTGTATGCGAATAGAATGTATAAAGAAATTAAGTACTAACTCAGACATATCTGGATATTTTGTTGTTATATGTTTAGGTTACAAAAATTAGAACAATGCGAGTTAGAATTATGTTGTCCAGTCTCCTTCAAATGATATTTTAAACTGACAACACAGCTCATTGTATGTACTTGGGGCGACGAGCTTTGAACGGGCTCAGGCCAACCGGGGACGTCCCTGCCTCACGGTCACGGGCTAAGAGGGACTTGTGGTTAGCACGTAGACATCCCCACGCCGTATTCCGGTCTCCTCAACAAGAGAAGTGAATTTTCTTATCGTCACACAGCAACATATACTGAGACATTGCAAGGAAAACGCACACTATAATCTTATCACCCCGGGAATCAAACCCGGGGCCGCGTAGTGGAAAGCGAGGACGGTGACTGACAGATAGCCATGAGGCTAAGACAGCTCATTATTCATACCGTTTTATTACTTCTCTAACTTTCAGCAAAATTTGAAAATAATCTTAACTTATTTAGTAGATTCAAATTAGTGCATTATACATAGATTTCTATTAAGATGCGGTTTTAGTTGTATTTTACGTACTTCAAAATACGCGAAGACTAAATAAGCTAATATATTTTCCGTGGAAAACGTAGGTATTTCAACCCTTATTTTTTTATCAAAGTCGTTTGAAGTCGTGTCGTTTGAAGTTGGTGGTTTTCTCATGCCACCACGCTTTTCACCTAAACATAATATTTTCTTTAACCATTCATCTACTATCACCACTCAGTCCCCATCATTGCTCTATCATTCTTTGTACAGTGCAAGGAAAGGCAAGCCACTCCTATAAGGGAGTCAAAAGGACGCCAGAATGATACACACTCCCTCCTCGCCTACTCTTTGAAATGAGAAATCACATTCCCAGTGTGTTGGAAAGTAGGTTAAAGGCATATATCAAGCTCAACAATATGTAATAATTCTGAAAGTTAAATTTATGTATCACTCACAGTAAAAACTCTATGTAACGCTAGAGAAATGCAGCTGGCATTGAAGCATAATTCCTCTTTACAATGTAGATAAATTTCGTGACTGAATCCAAGATTTAAAGTTATGAAACCGATATTAGGTTTTTAATTCATCGTCTTCCAGAGATACAGGGGTGAAAATGAAATACCGAACTAACCTCATCTCAATCAGTTTTTTTTCACTATCCCAGATCTATTGAGCAAATCCAGAGATGGCCCCTTTATTTGCTTCTGGACATAAATGTAGCCTCACTATGCGCACGTTTTGCTGAACTCACCTTTTGCTTGCAGTGGTGTTAGTGGAGGGAGTAGAGCTCGGAGGGAGTTACTATTTTGTTAGCAAAACAGAAATCAAATCTGCAGTTCGTTTTTCGATGCATGTAAGTTTTCTATAACTCGTGAACGAAAATGTCTGTTTGTACAAATGTTGCTAAACTCGCGCTTTTTTAAATTTTATTCTTGTTTTATTTTAGTTACTTATTTTATAAACTTTTGTTCATCTCTCTACTATTTACAGTTCAAATGTTGGGAAGGATTTCTGAGAAAACGTGCGCAGATGATTTTCTTCCCCATACGTCGCAATAGATTTTATTATTTTTTGACTAAATAAAATCAAACGTACTTCACTTAGAGTTGAAGCCATTCCTTTATTTGGTTGCGCAATGTCATCGAGATAAAGTCTTTCTGAATCCTTTCATTTCTAAGCTTCTAGTGTATTATCGGGATTTTAAAGGTTTTTAACATTTTTTCTTTGAAGAATTTTTGACTCCTCGATGTACCGGCTCGACAATTGACCTATTTTATCTTTTATATATTCTTTAGATTATATTTCTCCAAATAATTTTGACTAGTTTTTACGGTTGTAATTATATTTTTGAAAACACTTATGCCTTATTTCTTCATATTTTTAAAAAAACAAACGAAAAACAGAACACATTTTCACTAAAGATCTGAATACTCTGATTGTATATGAATTTAACTTAAATATAGCAAATTCAATTCCAAATTTTCAAAAATATTTCAATAATTATATCACCAAATTCCACATTTTTAAATATCATTATATTGTCATTCGTTTCGTAAAATCATTTCGTATGAACATAAACCGCATGAAGTTACGTTAATGAAATTATGGAAATTATTACCATCATATTTGTTTCAAAAATAGTTAAAAATAATTTAAGATGAACAGAGTAAAATACCAAAGAATCAAATTCTTCGTACTGTCTAGAAGAACAAATCTCTAAAAATGGTGCCTATGAACCACAAAAACTCGAATATAGTAGTAAGATATTTATACTCGTATACTTGTGATTGAAAAATGATTCTTCTGATTCTAGTACTTTCAGTAATTATATTCACAAGACAAAATAATCCGCCTGAAATTTTGCAAAGCATATCGTCGAAAATCTTGTCACCGTCAAGATATGAACCCCAGGACCTCCCGTAGAAGTCGAGAATTCCGCCCGAATGGCCAGATTCTCGGTGTCACATCATTAGCGCCAAGGAGGTCAAGCAACGAGGCGGGACGGGATTCCGTGCTTTTCATGTTACTCAGCGTGGGATTTGGATCTCGGTCTCAAGGCAGAACCCAGCCCCACGCTATGAAAATCGAGGAAGAACTTCCACGCATGTGAGGGGCGTGGATAGTAAATGAGCTGCCAGTTGGATGACCAGCTCCACCCAGCTTAATGAGTACATGTTCGTAAGAGAATTCGTTCTGTCATGTCCAGATACCAGCTTGATGGTGCGCCCTTGAGCCATGAAAACCTCCTGGTATTTACAAAGCAGTAAATAACCACTTTACTCCTCTGTAAACATAGGCAAAACCTACTTCCCCTTCCCGATCTAGAGTAAAATACACGAATGGATAGTTTTTTATTATCAAACTTATACACGTAAGTAAGAGTATAATTGAAATCAAATATACGATCAAATGGATTCTGACGTCATCCGTAACAGCCTAACGGACGTTCAGTGGCCCTTTCATGATATTCTATCGGTCACCTTCAGTTTAAATAGCATCGCCGTAGTTTAAATCTACATCACAGGCTGTAATTCGGGCAAATTGAGTTGTTTTGATTTGTTTGGTTTCCTCAGCAGGAAATCTTTCGAGGGAAGGAAACACACGGACCTGCGGAGTCCGAAAGGCAAGGTCGTTTGTCTCGGGTCGAGGGAAAAAGCGAGTCTGCCGTACGGTGGAGACGCGAAGCGTCGGCCTTTATGCCAGTACAAGAAGAGTTCGCGAAGAGATGTGGCTCTCGAACAACTTCAGTTCAAGATGTAACAGAAAACGTGGCAATTTATTGCAAGGCGGGAATAATCATGACTTCATTGGCCCTGGAACAGTTGTGATACATTTTCCGTAACGATCACCGTTATGTTGAAATTTTGTATCACTTCAAATTGTAAAATGTAATGCATAACAACAAAATTAATTAAACAATATGTATGACCATCGCTTTGGCTTAATGTATGGCTCTATAATTTTTAAAAGTTAATACTTATTTTATTTAGGGTACTTATCATGTAATTTTATATACCTCTCACTTCCAACAGCAAATTCACTTCGAAACAGATGTCTATAGAATTACCCCCCCCCCATCTCAGTTATTTTTCACAAAACTTATTTTTTCTTGATCTCGGTTTACTCTACTTTTCGTTTCTTGTCCTGAAATAATTTTCCAAACCTCTGAAGTATCTCCATGAGTAGATTTTTTTCCTAGTATTGGTTACTACACGGTGCTATTTACTTACATAAAAGTATTACTTATTCAATAAGTTTACGAACCATTAAATAAAAGTTCCAAACCATATTTCTTCCAAGTATGCCCTAGCAAAGAAAGTTACTTCAAATCAAGATATTGGATAAGTGAATATTCGGGATTCTACAGAACATGCTTATGAGAAGATTCTACAAGGAGGATTATGTCTTTTCCCTAATGCAATATCTTGTTTCATTTGCATAAAAGAAGAAACTTTAAGTAAACACAGTAGGTTATTAAACGATATATTTCTATTATCAATGAAATGCAATTATTTTCTTTTAATTAGAAGTTTCCCCAAGTGACCCCAACAAATTTATCTCAACACTAAATCTAATTCTCTTTCGCCAAAACCGCATTGTTTGCTCTGTCACAAAACCCAAAACATCAAACCAATATTGTTATCATTTTACTCTCTAGCAAATTAGTTCACTTTAAGGCAAGTCGAGGTCAAAATCACATCCAGATTTCCTAATATATCTCAAAGGTCTTCTCCTTGGAAAAAAATACACATTTAGCCTGTGCTTCACATACTCTACTAGTAGAAACCATGCAAAATCCAGCCCTTTAAACATACGATTAAAATGAACTGGGAAATAGAAAAAGGAAAAAGCGGATTCGACAAAGAAAAACAATGGAATTTCCAAAAAAGATATTCTATGACTTTTACCATTAGAAAACAAAGTCTTAATGGTTATGAAATGAAAGAAACATAAATAAATTTACCTTGTATATGCCATCCACGAGTTTCGTAATTTCTTCGGTCTCCATGACTTCGAGGAACACTGTCGAGAAATTACCACAATGTTCACGCTGCCGGGCGAGTTACTCGCAGGAGAATCCAAGAAATGAGTATTCCACACGGAAAACGAGCAAAAATGTTATCGTCTCCATTTTTTTCGCATTTAAAAAAAAATAACTACACACTCACGTCCCAAAACTCTTTCCGTCTCGATCACACACAACAGCAAAGATCAGAAATCAACTCCAAGCATTCGTTTTCTGACGATTTGGAAAAAAAGAATCCCAAATTTGAGATTCTCACCCCATTGTTATTACATTCGAACACATCACATGTCACACGAACCGCACTCGATTGTCATCAACTGACACAGTACAATACAGACACGATCGAGATATTAAGAGAGGAAAAAAACCAGAATAGTTGTCAAAACAGTGTGCGGAAAACCACACGTCGAGTACTTAGCGGTCCGAACTCGTCACACAACACTAGATCTGCACAGTGACTCGGACTGACACTCGAGTGGAATCTCCTAAAAAGTAAAAAAAATCCAGAGGGCCGTCACAGGGCAAAGAGTCCGCGCTGGAGGGGCAGCTTGTCGCGGTGCGTGACGTCGCCGTCAAGGTCGCGGTGTCTGTGTCGGGGCGTCGAGTCGACCTCGCAAGCGGCGGAGGCGGCGGCGGAGGGCCGGCGGCGCGGGGCTGCTCAGCGTGGGGCGCCGGGCGGAGGTCGGCGCGCGACTGGCGCGGCGGCGGCGGCGCCAGGGAAGGGAGGCTGCTGCCGCTCGCGCCGAGACGCCAGGGGAGGGAGGGGGGCGCCGGCGCCGACGCCCCCGCGCCCGATCGCGCGCGCGCCGCCCCCACCCCTCCTCCCTCCCTTTCACGGGGACGCCCAGCGCGAAAGGGTCGGGGGCTTCGTGGTTGCGGCGCGGCAATTAAGCCAACTGCGGGCCCGACTGCGTTATGGCTGTTTGGCTCGTGTGGTCGCTGGTTGCGAACAGCGCAGGCAACCTTTCCCACGCCAAGGTTGGGAGTTCGAATCTCATTGAAAAAAAAACAGAAAAAATATCTTTATTCAATCACATAAAATCGCATAAAATAAATAGACGAATGTGTGTGTGTTGCGAAATTAATTACTGGACACCACAAGTTTCATCCCTTTTTTTTATACTAATCATTGAAATTATTAACTGAATGACAGCATGTCCTGCTGATTTTAATGACATTTTGATAGATTAGAAAATGATTTTTTCTCGTTTTCTTGTCACAAGCTCTGTACTGAAAATCAACGTCAGTGCTAAAGCATTCATCGTGAATTGTTGGCAAAGTCTAGATATTGTGGTCTAGAATTTACTATCGAACCTTCTCACATGGATCGCATTTTCTCTCAACGGTTAATGCCGACTTTTTCATCGAGTTCATGTTTTACGATAAGTCTCCATGTCGTAATATCTGTACTCGTTTCGGACGGAAGAGGCGAGCTAATATATTCAGCCTGCGCCAGAAACAAAAATTTCCTATCTTACCTCCACAACAAATACAGTTATTGTTCAAGTCAATTACTGCAACCTTACAATATTTCCGATGAATGGAATATTGCAAGTAGCCACAAATCTTAGTAATATAAACATAGGAGTCATAAGAATATCATGATCTTTTGTAAAGCTTAGTAGTGATAAGAAAAATACTATACATATATATTGAGAAAGCATTTGCAACATGTTACTTTCGTATCTCAGTGATTAAGAACATGCTTTGTGTAAATGTTATTCAAGCGATGTTCATATCTGTTCAAAAATAAATGAACTTTCGAGTTGCTACGTACTGTCATAAAGCCAGTAAGGAATTAAGTTATTAAGATTGATTATAAAGTAGATGTCTGAAGCACACATTTGAAGTAAAGCCAGTCGCAGGTTCTGTCTCTACCGGACCGCTTTTCTATCAAATAGACGCAAAGAATTTCTTAAGGAAAAATCTTGCGAACTCGTTTTGCCCCAGTATCTAATAGTTTTTGAAGATATTGTGTGGATTCAACCAGTCTGAAACAACATATATTTCTTTTGCGTAGTGGAGTACGAGACCGCAATGCATTATTTTAAGAACCTTTGTATTGTACTGATGGCAGTTTTTTTTTTTTCCTTTTGCCTGCTACACAGAAAATGTATATATTTAACTAGTACAGATAGCAAAATATTAAATCTATTGAAATATCTATTGAAACTAAAATTTCTAAAATGTAGCTAAATGTGAAACTACATGTGAAATAAAACAAAATTTAATTTGTACCATTGCTAAAGAATGACATCTCCAGCAGTTATTTCGTAGCCTTCGGAAAAGTGCAGATAAGAACAGAATGAATGGCAACAAATTCTGTGCTAAATAAATCTCTCTGATGAATGACAATAAATGAGCACAGACAGGAAGAGAGTAAATTGTTTTCGCTGTAGTAATAAAGTGAACCCTACAAACGGCAGGGATGACTCCTCGATTATTGCGTTTCAAAATTAAATTCCGTTCCGCCAAATACCAATGGCCGCTTCCTGGTGTGAATTAGTTGGGGAACGTAAAGGAATGTTGCCTTTTAAATTCGTTGACCTGGAAAACGAGTGAGAATATTCGAAAATAAAGAGCGATTTTCAAAGTATACGTAAAGACTAATAGAAAGCATTTTTAATATATTTTCTTCTGTGTAAGCAGTGAAATTGCAGAGAAACAAAAAATCAAATATATTTGCCTTAGAGATTATGAGACCTTATAATTGATGACTCTAGTGATAATTGAATTGCATTTACTTACAGGCATTGTGTTTAATAGCAATTTCCTATTGATCGGTATGCCTGATGAACATTCTTTGATATAGTGTAACGTAGAAAAATAAAGGGAAAAATGATGACATTTTAATCATCTGTCCATCATTTACAATAATTTCTCACTTGCAGAGAATTTCGCAAAGATGAATGTACACAAATGAACTTTCTTGCCTATTAAACTAAATATGAAAGCAACCATGAATCATTGGTTAGTAATCTTTTCCTATTTTTGGGATATTGGATTTCAAGAGTTTCAAATATCTGTGTGTTCTTAAGAACCGATTCAAATTAATTTTGATGAGTTGATAGCATTCAATCGGTTTTCATTAACCAGGATTTTATGCCGAGTACATAAACAATCAAATTAATTAAAAATACTGCCTTCCGAAAGAAATCTATTTGAAATTGATGTTCTGTCATGTATTTCCAACTATATTTTTCAATCGTATGTTCTGACCAAATGTAATTTTCTGTAATCACTGTCATGAGTGATTGAGCAAAAAAGTGATATATTTATTTGTACATATATTTTACATATTTTGTAAAACTTATAATCCATTGACATATCATTTAAATAAAGCTTAAATACTTTGTGCTTATTTTCTACACGTTATGGAACGAACCTTATGGGTACCTACGAACATGTTGGCTCATTTATCATTCAAAATGAAACATTCACATGATAATACTGCTCTAAATCCAAAACAAACTGTAAAATATCTACACCTCTCTGCAACTCAAAATACTCCTTTAACACAACTCGCAAATTTCTTCCACTTATTCGTCTGAGTTCCGTCCACGCATTTTTTGTAATGCCATCTGTTCTCCAACGCATGTGGCTTTCTTGCTCGCCGGCTGTACACGGCAGTGCCCGGTGGTCCCCTCATTACTCTTACATTCACCCGGTGCCGTATCATTAACTGCGTATTCAAGACGTTTATTGGATTCCACACGGCCCGCGCCCACGCACTGCCCTCCCCTCCCCTCCCCTCCTCTTCACGGTGCGGTCCCGGGAGCTTTTGCTCTAGGCCGCGCCCAACTGCAAGTAAATACTCGGCCGGATGCGTGCCATTCAAACGGAACGCGAACCTTTTCGCGACACTGCCGCACGGCACCGCTGCCTCACCCCCCGCCCCACCTTCCTCTGCGTTACATATAGATTCGTTTCCAGGATTTGCGAAAACACTGGTTTTATTGATTTTTTTGTAAAGAACGGCAAATCGTATTTATATTATCTGTTTCCCTTTATATGCAGTTTACTTACATGTTCGAAGTAGGGGAAATCATTTTATTTAATATAAAAATCTTCCGGCAGTGGATAATAGAAAAGTACTACCGAAGTCTATTTATTACTGTTAATCTTATGTATAGTTATATTTAGGAAATAAGTCAAAATGTTAAAAAAAGGCGATCAGAAAAAATGAAATGTATATTACATGTGGCATTGTATTTTTCATAAAGTATCATCTTACACTCGTTAGTAAACGAGAAAGTGCAAATTCAGACTAAAGACGGGCTTGTTTCTATTATGAAGCCCGAGAATGTCGCACTCTATCGGAAATGGCTTGAAACTAGTCCTCTGAGCCCCGTGGAAGAGCGGCAAGTAGTTGCTTCCGCCAGCCAATGCATTTACAAGCTATGCATAAAAAATATCGATTGTCGTGTTTTTCCATTGTCAGGCCTTCAGCAAGTATTAACAATATTGTTTTTCACCATTAACCAGTTGGTTGAAAATGTTATTTGACAGCAGGACTGTGTTAATGTTGAGTTGGCGAACGGTTTCAATACCTCATTCAACTTTCTACAATATTTCATAACTGTAATGGCCGCCATGATGGTTCTGTAACAGGGGGTTGGGTCTAAATGTGGGCTGGTGAGGCTATCAATTTCTGGACGACTCCGATTCGGAATTTGAAGGACTCCAAATCACAAAAAACCCTTAAAAAGATTATGCTTCCTGTCTCTTTTGCTAAGAGTAGTTTTCCGAAAACAGAAATGGTGAAGATTGGGTACAGTGTCTTGCATATCATGGGTGGTAACTCACAGAATATACTGGTAGGGAGAGAAAGATGAGTATACATGTGATTCTATAAGTGAATTTACAATTTTTTGCTTATATCTATTTGTAAGAGAATTTTATTGTCATTCCTTTTTTTATTACATTTTTCTAAAAATATAGGGGTTGATTATATTTGGACTTTATTTTTAAAATGTGACATTTTGCAATTATTTTAAATAAAGCATTTTTATGAAACTGTAATTTTTTAATTTTAAAACTTTCCAGCATTGTAGGCCATGAGTCAAATGTACCGCTCAATGTTTAAATTCTTCCTTATGTCCAAAAATCTTGTATGTGCGGTACAGAAGTACATTTAAAAATCAAAAGCTAGCTCATATTTGGACTTTCTCCTCTAATAATTATTTGCTCGCCCTTCTGCGCTCGTGAATAATCAACTAACTGGCACGTAATAATCTCTTTAGGCCACTTGTAAGATAAAAAAATGTTTTTCTTTATTATGATTTTCAGTTCCTAGCTTTTGCGATCATATTCGAGGCGAGTGTTTTGATGGATGTGTGATGGTGATCATGCGATGTGAATTATGCGGTAATGATAGCCAGGAGATACTGGATATACCCGAGAAAAGCCGCCTGTAACCCGCTTTCTCCACCATAAATGTCTCACGGATAGACCGATCGCTTAACCCCTGCTCCCCATCACAAGATCACGGTTCGCTCCTTGGTAAATGACATTGTTAGAAATGTTTTGTTCCCGGCAGCAAGACCAGTCGTAGACTTGTACTTGGACCCCTCGATAAACGTTTGTGAGGACCACCTTCTCCAACTTTCTCATCCCCATAGGATTATTTTTAAATTATCACAAATATCGATTTGAAAACAAT